TGGGGTTGGGTTTCTTCTCTCTTGGAGCTGCAAGAGGCCTGAGAAACACAAACATTGTCTCCTGAGCAGCCACCACCATGATGAAACAACTGAGAGCTGAAAGCAGCCTTTCAGACGTGACGCCCTCAGTAGACATGACGGGTGGCATTTTGTTACGTGCACCCAGGAAAGACACCTCCTGTCTCTCCGTGGTGCCCCAGGCCTGCTCCCTGAGCCCTGTAAAATAACAATACCTCCCCTGGGGTAACCGAGGGGGAGGAGGAGGACATACCCTACCCTGGGTAGTGGGCAGAGGTTCCAGCAGCCCACAGACCCAGGGCTTGCAGCCAGGCCCACTCACTGACAGAGAGATCTTGCATGAATTACCTGACAGACCTGGCCCAGTGTGCTCATCTGCAGAGCAATGCCTGTCTCATGCATAGGCACAGAAACTGCCTGGTACACAGTAGGTGCTTGTTCAACCAATACAATTTCTTACAATGTTATTTCTCAGTAACATTAAGAAGGAGTGGTTTCGTGGCTTTCCTGTTTTGCAGATGATGAAACTAAGGATCTCAGAGACTGAGTGACTTCCCTGGAGTCCCTCGGTGGGTTAAGTGGAGGAGGTGAGTTTGATAGCCAGGCCCAGGTGCTCTGATGACAGGCCTGCTACTATTTGGTCCCCTCACCCCACCCTTGCCTGGAAGATCTGGCCTCACAGGGCGTTCCAGAAACAGCTGGGCTGCTCTGCTCAGACCCCCTGTTCATGTGTCTTCTCAGAAAGGCCTTTCTAAAAGCACCCTGGTGGTGGAAGCAGTGCCCTTTAGTCTCATTGTAACCAGTGAGAAATGGGAAATGGTGATGACGGCCTCTGCCCTGCCCTGCCCTGCCCTCCCCAGAGATGTGTCCAGAACCAGGATGAGGGATCTCAAAAAATGGCTCTGGCCGGGCGCAGTGCCTCACGCCTGCAATCCCAGCACTTTGGGAGGTCAAGGTGGGTGGACCGCTTGAGGTCAGGAGTTCGAGACCAGCCCGGCCAACATGGTGAAACCCGTCTCTACCAAAAATACAAAAATTAGCTGGGTGTGGTGGTGGGCACCTGTAGTCCCAGCTACTTGGAAGGCTGAGACACAAGAATCGCTTGAACCCAAAAGGCGGAGGTTGCAGTGAGGCGAGACTGCACCATTGCACTCCAGCCTGGGCAACAACAGTGAAATTCTGTCTCAAAAAAAAAAAAAAAAAAAAAAAAGATTCTGGGAAGCCAGCATCTGCCAGGTGGCCTGGGGTCGGGAGAGGGAGAGTACCTGTGGGCTTCCTTCATCCACATTCATGGCTCATCCTATGGCACAGGTTGGCTTGGTGGTGAGACGAGCATGGCCTAGGGAGTGCTGATTCCAAGCTAGAAGGAGTCATCTGTGGAGCAGGTCCAAACCCAACCAGGAGCCTGGGATCCATGAGTCCAGCCCATGCCAGCTGCCCCCAGCCAACCTGCAGACATGGAAGGGAGAGGTGTATGCTTGTGGGTGATGCCACAGAGACTCTGTACACAGCAAAAGCAGAGCAAAACACTGTCACTCTTTTTATTTTATTTTATTTTTTTATTTTTTTGAGATGGAGTCTTGCTCTGTCACCCAGGTTAGAGTGCAGTGGTACCATCTTGGCTCACTGCAACCTCTGCTACCCAGGTTCAAGCGATTCTCCTACCTCAGCCTCCCAAGTAGCTGGGATTACAGGTGCCTGCCACCACACCTGGCAAATTTTTGTATTTTTGGCAGAGACGGGGTTTCACCATGTTGTCCAAGCTGGTCTTGAACTCCTGACCTCAAGTGATCCACCCACCTCGGCCTCTCAAAGTGCTGGGATTACAGGCGTGAGCCACTGCACCTAGCTGTCACTCTCTTTTGATTCCCTTGGTGAAGCGACAGCAGTGAGCTGAGCAGGGCCCCACCACATCCGCCTTTCACACACTGCAAAGTCGTTGCCCAGGGTGGGTGATCTTGACCCTTCTCCTTACTGACTGGTTTCAGCTTTCTCTGGACCAGCCTTCGTTGCTGTGGGAGGCATAAAGTGCTGAGGTCCGAGTATGGGTAGTGGGCTTAGGGAAGACAGAGAAGGCTTCTGGGGGACATCTGGGGTTGTGGTCACACAGCATCCTTGGGTCAGGAGCCCCAAGATGTGTGGGTTCTAGAGCTGAAAAGGCCCTTAGAGGTTCAACCCTTCACTTATAGATGGGCGACTGGGGCTCAGACAAAGCAAAATAACGACCTGACTCACACAGCAAACTAGTGACGGGGCTCAGGACTGTAACCAGTTCTCCTGCACCCCCATCCGGCGCCCCTGGAAAGAGGTGACTGCCCCCCACCATCTCCACCAAGGCTTTGGCCTAAGGGAAGGAAGCTGAGGTGGGCAGAGGGGTCACTAGAGGTCAGCATGGCAAACGGAACTGTGTCAGCCCTCACCTCCATGTCCTTTCAGCCTGCGTGCCTCCCTGGGCAGGGCTGGTGCAGGGATGGGGGTGGGGGGAAAGGGGTGTGCCCCTGGCCAATGGCAGTCAGGCAGGGGCTGAAAAGCCAGCTGACAGGAAGCCCCCAGCATGTCTAGGCGATCAGATCACCAGAATCGCCTGGGCTGATTGAGAAGAAAAATATATTCACATCCACGTCCACAGCGGCAGCAGCCAGGGGCTTGGGGCCTCATCCCTTCTGAAGAGGAGTCTGCAGCCCAGGTGGCCAGCACAGGCCAGATACACAGTGGCCCTTGAGGAGGACTGGACAGAGGGAAGGGGGAAGGTCAGTTGGTTCTAAAGATGAAAACAAAATTCTTCTCAAGTACTGCCTATTATACACATGGAGAGACTTGGGTGCAGGGAGGGGCAGACCCTCACCCCAAGTCTCCTTTGATTTTCAATGCAAGCTTTTGGCATCACTTTCTCATAGCCCTTCCCCCTATCCTACCCCCAGGCAGGTTTCCAGCCCTAGCTGATGATGCCTGGGTCCTGATCCAAAGGACACAGCTGAGGACCTGGCAGGGGGCAGGAGGGGGCAGGGCTGAGCTTCAGGAGTATGGGATGTTCTCCTGGTTTCCTTCAACTCCCCACAAGACAATGGAAAGTCACTATCCTTCCCCCATGTGTTCACTGGGAGCCACCAGCCATAGTGGACTCTGAGCCAGAGAGATCTGGGTTCAAATATCAGCTCCCTTTTGAGCCTCAGCTTCCACATCTGTGAAATGGGAATACTAATCCTGATCTTGGAGAAGTAGAGGATTCCATGGGATTCTATTATTCCCATTTTATGGGTGAGAAAACTAAGTCTCGGGGAATTTAAGCAACTTGCTCAAGATTACACAGCTAAAAATAAAACTGGGCAAAATCTGTATTGCAATCCAAGTTTATATGACTCCAAATTGCTTCTGTTTCTACTCTAGCTGGGAGCCAGAGGATTTCTGGCAGGAGGACTGCTGGAAATGTTTGGAGGCAACTGACTGAGCCTCTTAAATGAGCAGAGGGGTGTGCATCCCAAACAGACAGAGGCCACCTGGAATGGCCCTGACTGAAGTGGCCAGGGGGCCTGAGGCAGGGGAGCTAAGGACACTCTTGGGCCCCTGGAGGCCTTTGCCCTCTGCCCCCCCTTCCTCCCTTCCTCAATGCCCCAAGCCCCACTGTCTTTCCACTGCTTTTTTGATCAGATTGCCCCAGTGTTCTGGCATAAGAGATGGGGGTGTCCCAGCGTGTGTTCCAAAGGATATTCCTGTGATTGTGTGCAGGAGTACATGTTTGGCATTGTACACTTGGGAGCTGTGTGTGCATGGAAGCCCGTGCATGTTTGCACATCAACTGTGTGGGCACAGGTGGTCTGTGTGCAGCCTCCCCTTCATGACGTGTGTGCGGCCATTTCACACCTCTGTGCTATTGTGTGTGAGGGCAGATGATGTGTCCCGGTATCTCCCGAGTGTGTTTGTAACCATTTGTGGGGTGATATGCCCCTGGCTGTGTGTGAGGACTGGCTGTGTGGGAGTGCTGGTATGGCTGGGAGGCTGCTGTGGGCACTGTAGGCCCAGATGTTTGTGTTGTATATGGAGGTACCTGTGGCTGGGTGTGGGGCAGCCTACTTCATCTGCAGCTGCAAAGAATGGGGGAAAGAATGTCAGGCATTTTGGGGGAACTGAGACAGGCTCCGTGTCCTCACTAAGTCTCCATTTCCCTTTCTGCTAATGAACCAGTTATCCTTGAGGACGTCCTGGGATTGAGGTCCCTAGAAGAAGAGGGAGACACAGATGAACCCACAGCACCCGATGGGCAGTTAGAAATAGTAGTGGTGTTGTAGGGTAAGCAGCTGGTCTCCTCAGGGGAGGCCAAGTGATGGGGAGAAGTGGTCCCAGAAGCACCACATGCCTGGGCTACACAGTGCAGCAGGCGCCTCTCTAGGCTCCTTTAGCTTCTGAAACACAGCCCTCCTCTGCTCCGCCTCCCCTGTGTCCAGAACACTCCCCAGCAGTCACCCCAGCGGCTGGGACGCCGCCCAGCTCCACACTTAAGGTTTTCAGCGGGCTTTGTAGCGAGGAGTCCTCGTGTCTCTTTCTCCTGCAGGATCGTTGATTCCTTTCCCACAACTGGAACCAGAGGCCAAAAGAGACGGTCCCCCGAAGGACATGGACTAGGACACGAAGGCAGGTGTCAGGACCTCAGACGTTTATAGTAACCACGCTGCGCGACCAGCACCTAAGGATGCCCCAGCTCCAGACTGAGACCCAAGTCTGACTTCCCCCTGCGAGTTGAGGCTCCTTGCCTGGTTGCTGCGACTATTCGAGATGGGCCTTACCCGGGCCCCACGCGTGTCGCAGGCAGGCAGCACGCACGCTTAGTAAACACCAGCTGTAGTGAGCGAGTCCCCCTTTGTAACTCGACAGAGTACAAACTTCTCTGGAGCGGCGGGCGCTGCAGGTCAGTGGCGTCCGCGGGGACCCCGCCCCCACCCCCAGCGCGCGGCCGGGGCCACCCGGTGGGGTTGCGGCGCGCTGACGTGGGCGGATCAAAGCGGCCGCCCGCCTTATAAAGCAGTTTGGGAGGCCCGCGCCGGAGATTGCGCCGGGCGAGGAGGAGAGCTCGGGCGAGCGGCGAGCACAGGCCCCGGGAGTTGAGCGCAGCCGAGAGCAGCCGGAGTCCGCGCCTGACTCCGCGCGGGTCCTGAGCCGGCCGCAGCTTGCCAGGATCCCTGGCGTCCTTCTGGCGCCGCTTCACGAAGAGGGCGCCTCCGCCGCTAGCCCAGCCGCAGTGCGCACCGGCCCGCTGGAAACTGCGCTCGCGGCTCCCAGGGCAGGCCAGGGCACCCGGGCACGCAGGGCGCGCCTGGCGAGCGCCCCGGAAGGTAAGCAGTGGTTGCGGGCAGCGGGCAGCTGCTCAGCGGGGACCGGCTAGGGCTGGGGGCGCCCGAGTCGGAGGGGGACGACGCTTCTCACACCCGCCACGACCCCCTTGGGCTCCCACTCGCGGGTAAGCAAACCAAGCGCTCCTGCATACCTTTCCTCCGCAGCACTCCGAACAGTTCCCCCTTGCGGAGCGCAGCCGCGGGAGCCGGGGGACGCGGGGTTTAGGGGGACGCGGGACGGGGGTGGATTGTGCAGTTCCTGCGGCCCTCCTCCAACTTTCCCGGCCCGGCCCCCCTCTTCTGCTCCTGTACCCCAGGCGACCCCCTCCTTCCCAGTCGTCCCGTGGATGAGGTCATGCCCGAGCCACCCCCCGGGGGTGGGGGACTTGGATCCCGAGACAGAGGGTGTGTGTGGTGGTGGGGAGAGGGTGGCAAAAGGCAGAGAAATGCGGCAGCGCCTAGTAAATTGGGGATGGAGGCAGACGCCTGACTTTGAGAACAGGTCCCAGGGGCGGCGGGGGGAGCGGGAGAACCGAGTTTGTTTACTGACCTGAGCTCCAGGCTAGGGGCTGGGGAGGAAAAAGTCCTGTCCCCGGCCCCGCGGCACATCTCGAACCGCCCCGAACATCTGGCTAAGTTCGCGCACGAGCTCCACGCCTCCCACCCCCCGGGCTGAAATGCCTCGGTGTCCCTCAAGACCCTGGGCGTGCAGGGCCCCCCTCCAGGGGGTTAGCAGGAGGGATCTCGAGTGCCCCCACCCACCCTTTCCACTTCCAAAACAGCCCATCTCCCGGGTGACCTGGCGCCGCGTGCGCAGCCAAGCAGACGTCTCTTGAAAACTTCGCGGCTGGGGTCAAAGCCGGGTGGCCGCCCCGGCCTCCCTGGCCCACAGGTAACCTTGAAGCCGTCTCTTGGAGTCCCTGGTTGGCGGGGTCAGCTCCGTGAGCTGCGCGGCGGGAGGCTTCGGGACCCGCCGGTGCCGACCTTGCGCGCCGCGCGGACAATCGGCCCCTGTGCACGGTGCTCGCGGGGCATCGGGGTAGGGGAGGCCCCGCAAGTCCTCGCTGGCGTGGCCTGGTCCCGGCAGCGGGCTTTCCAGAGCTCTCCATAGCCCGGGCCTATGACCACCTGTTGGCGGCGCTGGGCTGCGGCGCTGCGCTCGTGGTGCCCTCCCTGTGCACAGCCCCAGGCGGGGGCCTCCCGGGCCCGCTGCAGGCAGGGTAGCTCGGACTAACTTCGAGGAGGTGACCGCTGGCTCTCCAAAGGTGCTGCGCCTGGCGCGGCCCACTACGCGCCCGGCCCCAAGCAAGGGGTCGGGCAGGTCAGGGCGGCCCACGGCAAGTGTCCTATAGAACGACCAGGACACAGGGGGCACTCCCTCGACACCTCGTCCCATCCCCAGATGGGGAAGCGGGGGCCCAGGAAGTGGAGGGGACTTGCCCCCAGCCCGTGATGCGGGTGGCAGCCGCGATCCCGACCCCCACCCGAGCCCCGGCTTAGCGCCCCCTGGCGGACTGAGGGCTTCGGGAGGCGAGTGCACCCTGACCCGCAGGCTCAGGCGGAGAGTGACCCCACGGCCCGCGCGGCTCTCCCGGGCGCTCGTACAAGGGACAGGAACAGTGCGTCAGGACCCAGAGGCTCGGGCCCGGCGCTGCCTCCCCCCGCGACGAGCTTGGGCGGCGGAGGGAGAGCCCTGGGACAGCCGGAGCTGCACCGAAAGAGCCGGGCGGGGCTGGAGGCCTTGGGTCCCCGTCCGCTGTGCGACCTAGGCCGCTCCTCCTCTCCCTAGAAGACCAGGCTAGACACAGATCCCCCGCTGTGAGTCCGCGCGCCTCCGTCCTCGTGCAGCCCCCGCCCCCTCCCGACTCAGGAATGCCGGGTGCCTTCGCGGGGCGGCTCACTTTGGGAGAGGGGAAGACGGTGACTGGAGTTTTGATTCCCTCCTCCATATCCAGCGGATATTTTTCTTGTTCTGAGAAGTGCGGGAAACTTGCAGAACCAGGAAGACAAAGGAGTTGGATACAGGCTGGGTGGGAGGACGGGGCTGGGTTACACGGGGAACCCCGCTGAAACCCCCAGCCTTGACGGCATGTTTGTCGCAGGCGCCCTTGTGCTGGGCGCTAGCTAAGGGGCTCTGCGGAGGAAAAGAACCGTGAGATCCAGGCTTCTCCTCGCCTTCCTGTGAGTTTTGCCGACAGGCTCCAGAAAACAGTGGGGCTTCCCCTCTGTGCGCGCTGACGACCCACGCGCAGGAACGCGCCACGCAGGTGGCGTCGCGGTGCAAACAGCAGAGGGGCGCGGAGCCCCGCAGGCTGCAGGGAGACGGGGTCCTCGGGGAACGCACGGTGAAGCCCCGTTCCTCCTTCTTATGAAATGGGACACCGAGGCTGGGATGGCTGAGGGCTTGCTCAAGCTCACAGAGCCAGATAGGAACGTCCCTTTTCTGCTCCAGCGCCCCTCACTACCGTGGGCGCCTCCTTTTCCAACTCCCCAAACCCTTAGGAAGGAATCCCTTTGTCTCTGCTCCTCCCGAGAGGAGAGAGGCTGGGGCTGTGTCTGACTCCGGGCGAACGCCAGGTGTTGGTAAATTTGGGAGAAGCTGGGAAGGGAGTTAATGAGGTGAGAATGAAGTGAAGGAGAAAAAAAGCGGAGAAAGCGGCTCCGCGGGCTGCGGGCGGGCGGGGCAGCGGCTCCTTCGCGGCCCGAGGGCGCCGCCTGGAGGCCAGAGGCAACACCGCGCCAGCACCGCGAGCTTCCCCGCTTCGCCAAGGCTGGGCTGCCCAGTCCCGGCTCGCACGCCCCCGCCCCCACCCCCACCCTCCAAAGTGGGGCGGCTAAAGACTGTCTTGGAGACTCCGGATCCTCCCTCTACAAAGAGCCCTACCATCCCGTTTCCCATCCTTCCCTTCCCACAGCGAGAAAGAGGGGCCCCGAGCAAGCCCCATTTCCTGATTTCGCCGGACACCCGGCTTGCCGCTCCCTAGCTGAACAACTCCACCTCTGCGCCTCAGTTTCCTCATCTGTAAGATTAGGCAGTGATAGTACCTACCTCACGGGGTGCTGGGAGGAGCAGATACGATCGTGTTAGGAAAGTTTTTGTTGTCGTCGTTGTTGTTGTTGTTGTTTTGAGACGGAGTTTCGCTCTTGTCGCCCAGGCTGGAGTGCAGAGGCGCAATCTCGGCTCACTGCAACCTTCGCCTCCCGGGTTCAAGCGGTTCTCCTGCCTCAGCCTCCCAAGTAACTGGGATTACAGACGCCCGCCACCATGCCCGGCTAATTTTTTGTATTCGTAGTAGAGACGGGATTTTGCCATGTTGGTCAGGCTGGCCTCGAACTCCTGACCTCAGGTGATCCGCCCGCCTCGGCCTCCCAAAGTGCTGGGATTACGGGCGTGAGCCACCCTTCCCGGCCAGGGAACGTTCTTTATAAAAGCGGAACTGTGCCGAACTGCCCCAGCGTACTGAGGAGGTAAACTGAGGCACGGTTGGCAAAGAGAATTGCCGAGGCCCTAATAACTAATGATCAATATTGCAGGGATAAGCCCCAGCACCGGGGCCTCGACGCTGCTGCCTTGCCCGGACTCCTGATGCCTCATTCCTCTCCTTTCCGTCCCACGTCTGCGTCTGTCCGGGTTTCCCCTCTGCCTCCGTGGCTCTCAGCCTTGTCCTCTTGAGCGTCATTGTCCCTCTCGCTGTGTCTGCCCGATCTCTCCGGGGGTCTCCGGTTCTGCCGCCTCCTGTCCCTCCTTTCGGCTGCCCCGGCCGGAGGGGCGCGAAAGCACGTTAGGGCCCCGAAAGCGCGTTAGGGCCCCAGGCCCCGCAGGGGACACGCCTTCGGCCGCGCCTAATTCGAGCCAGGCGCGAGACGCGTCCCCGGGCCGGGCGGAGCGGGAGGGGACGCCCGCTGCGCTAGGCCTCCCCGGGCCCCGACCCCTCCTTTGTAATTTGAATAAAACGCCTCCCCCGCCCGCGCGCGGCCCTAACCCGCCGCCTCCGCTCTTCCCGGCTGCAGGCGGCATTCAGGACCAGCAGCGGCCGTGCAGGCGGAGGACTTCAGCGCGGCTCCTCCTGGGTGTGACCCCGGGCGCGCCCGCTGCGCGACGATGAGGGCGCGGCCGCAGGTCTGCGAGGCGCTGCTCTTCGCCCTGGCGCTCCAGACCGGCATATGCTATGGCATCAAGTGGCTGTGAGTAGGGACCCCGCATCCACGCGCACAGGCCGGGGACTGGGGCGGCGGAGGGCGTTATGGGGTCCCCTGGATGGTGCGAGCGTACCAAGACCCGGGAGCCCAAGCTGGCTTGGCGGTCGTGGGCAAATCATCCCTAAGCCTCCGTTTGTAAAATGTCCCTACCTCCCGGAGGCTTGCGAAGAGGGAGTGGGACGGGCGTGGACCGCGACGGAAGCGCCTGGTCCTGTGCAGCTGACGGTGGCGCAAGGGCCGCGGAGCTTCTGGCCACCTCAGCAGGGGCAGATGGAAAAAGACATTCTGTTCAGGGGGTGCAATCCAGAGCGGCCAGCCCAGGAGCGTTCCTTGTCAGTCAGTCTCCTTGACTTTAGCGGGAGTTCCGCTGAGACACTCCTGACCCCTCCACCTGGGTGACCTTGGGAAAGTGTCACTCTACCTCTTGGGGCCTCCTTGTCCTCCTCTGTCACAGGAGGGTGAGACTCTCCACCTCACTGAAATCAGATGAGAAGAGGCTCCTGAAAGGACCTCAGAAGCTGTCAGATGCCGCTGTGCACATGTGCAGGGCATTCCTTTAGATAGAAATTATTCAGGCAGGGGTAAGAGGGAGAGAGAGGCTTGGTGCCGAGCTGAAGGGAGTGCCTGCTCAGGGGGCTGGAAGTGGTGAAGAGAGGAGTAAATGCCAGCCCCTTCCTGGAGGAGCTGCCCTCTAAGCTAAGAGAGATAAGCCCAGGCTGTAAATAACTCCACAAGTGTCCAAGTGCTGGAGGAGAAACCAGAGGGGGGTTCTGGGGTCCTAGAGGAAGGAAGCCCACCTGGTGGGGACACAGATTTGAGACACCAGGAAGCTTTTCCGGGGCTGTGCCGCTAGTGACTGACGCACTGCCGGGAGTTGGCTGGTTCGGGCAATGGAGAGGAGGACGCTGTGGGCAGAGGGCCTCACTCAGAGGGAAAGTCCAGGACAGGACAAGGGTCTGGAGTTTGGGGCTGGGGCAGGGAGCCTGCAGATAAGACAGCAGGGGGCAGATTGTGGGGGCTGGGGAGGGCGCTGCAGAGGATTTGTGAATTAGTTGGAAGACAGCGTGATAGTGGCTGCGCCACCAGCAAACAGTCTGGAGGTCACTGGCCTGCCCCTTCTCGGGCCAAGTTATTGATTAATTGATGATTCGAGGAGGGAACCCCGTCTTCCTGCCTTTCTTGTTTACAAGAAGAAGCCTGGTCTCAGCGGTCTCCCGGCCCTGGGCACTAGCTTTTCCCAGCTGTCCCTGAGGAGTTCTGTGAGAAATCAGCCACCTTCGTTTTGCTACGGGGTACCCAGCACTGTTCCAGCTGGCAGGGACCTCCGATCAGTGAGTCCAAGCTCTCTCATCCACCACCACTATTTTACAGATAAGGATACTAAGGTCCAGGGAAGGAGAGGATTGGCTGAAGGAGCGTCAGAGGCCTTGCCCTGGGCTTGGGTGGCATTTGCTGCCTATGAGAGTCCTGTAGGGTCACTACGCTCATCCCTGCTCCACAGTGGCAACACTGAGGCCCTGCAAAGGGTGTGATGCACACAAGCCCCCATGCTGGCATGTGGTGGGATGGACGGCTGGCTAAACCTGATATCCATGTCCTCTGTCCCCACTGCAGTCAGGCTGCCACAGAAATGGGTGCGACTCATTGTGTGCCTTAAAGAAGCCCCCAGCCTCTTGGGGGAGATGGACATATAGAAATACAAAGTGGACTATGGTCTGTGTCCTAGCAGAGGGAGCATGGCAGCCCAGAGGAGGAGTGGTCAGTTCTACGTAAGAGAGGTGCCTGGGCCAAGATTGGAAGGACAGGGAGGATCTGGATGGTCAGAGATGGAATGCAAAGCAGGCATCCTAGGCGAGAGGCACAGCATGAGCAGAAGCCCCGGAGGCCGTACAGTGCGTGCGGGGAGACCTGGAGAAACCAGGCACCACAAGAGCCTACTCCTAAGTGCCCCAGACGCTGCTCCAAGAGCCTGGGTCATTTAATTTAGATCATACTGCACTCTTATGAGAAGGTGATAGTCTAGCAAGAGAGGATTAAAGAGAGGTGGGAAAAGGGGTAGAGTGTAAGAATAACAATTATCTATGTGTGCATTGTATATGTGTAGATATAGATACACATGTGTAGGCCACGTGCATATATGTATGCATATGTACATATATGTCTACACACACACAGCCTCACTGCGTGCTAGGCACCGTTCTAAGTGCTTTATGTATATTGTTCCATTTAAATATCCCAACCACCCTGTGAGGTGGGTGCTGCTATTACCCCCATTGCACAGAAGAGGAAATAGGCATGGGGGACTCTAGCAGGGTGTCACAGCTCAGAGGAGGCAGGGTTTGAGTTAAGCTGCCTGGCTCTGTGGCCTGTTGGGCACAGTGAGCCCCAGCACAGCTGGGAGCAGAAAAGTGTTCAGTAAGGCTGGAAAGCCAGGGACTCGCCCAGGAGCCTCTGCTGGCCTGGGCTTTGGAGAGTGAGCTGGAGATGAAAGGGGCGCTTGACACAGGAACTGAAGGCCAACATGGCCCAATGGCCTGGAATGCTCACCTGGTGGGTGCGTGAGACGCAGGCTGAGCTGGTGGGATGGGGGCTGGGGAGAGGGGATCAGAACCTGGCTGCCCATAGAGGCACCTGCCCAGAAATAACCTGGGGATCCTTCCCTACCTTACCTCCACCCAGGCCAGGCACCAGAAGACTCCCAGCCCCTCAAGTATTCGGGGTCCCAGGTCTAGGCTGCCCACCCCCTTCTTGGCTTCCCTGGGTAGCGGGAGGGTTTGAGGGGAGTCCCACACTCCTGTGAACCATGGAAGCGATGGGGTGAGAGGAAAGGCCCAGGCTGGCTGGGAACATCCATACAGGCTGCCCCCTTCCCTGGGCAGTCCCACATCTGCCACTCCCACTGAGGTGGGGCCAGGAGGCTCTAGAGGGCCATGGTGCTGCAGAGTAGGGTGCCAGACTGGGACTGTGAGGCCCAGCCTGAGTTCTGCAGGTCAATCGCTTTAGCTTTTCTGAGACTCAGTTTCCTCAGCTCTAAGGTAGAGGTAGAAGGAGCCCTACCTCTGGATGCAGGAGGCCTGGGGTCTAGCTTGTCTCTGCCTCTGATTGGCTGTGTACAGATCTGTGTAAGCCCTGCCCTTTCCAGGCCTCAGTTTCCCCACTTGCATAATGGGAGCTGGTGACGCTGTGGCAGCTCCCCTTTGGCTTCTTGGTTGAGAAGCGTCAGACCAAGGCCTGTTAGGGCTTTACCTTGCAAGATGGGCTGCACAGGTGGGTCAGCATGTGTGAGGCCAAGGGGACGGGCTTCCACCTCTGAGGTCTGGGCAGTCGGGTGTGAAGGGGACCCAGTGTCATTTCCAGGCAGGTCTGGATCTGCAGGCTCCAGGCCCTTCATCAGCCTCCATTTCTCTATCTACACAGTGGGGACAACGGCTGGATGGATCCCTCTTCACTCTGGAGTCCTGGGACAAAGCCTAGGAGGGAATAGGAGGACTCTCAGGCTATGGGGCCCCAGGGGCTTCTTCTTCCTGGACAGGCAGCTGCAGCCCCAAGCTGGGGTGGCTGGTGAAGAAGGGGCACTTCCAAAGTTCCTAGACCTCCCCCTGGTTCCTGGACCTGGCGCCTAATTGAGGAGTTAGTTGAGGAATCATGGAGGGAGAGGTTCCCCATGGTTACCCCAGGGGAACAGACGGAAGCCTGGGGAGAGGCTGGGGTTGCCTGGGTGGCCTACAGCCCGAGTTCCTGCTCCATCCTCCCTGCCACGTGGGCACCAGGATGAGGTGGGCCCAGGAAAGCCCAAAGGGACATGGGCAAGGGAGGGACAAAAGTCTGTCTGGGAGAACAGGGTCTCCTCAACTCCATTGTTCTCCCACCTCGGGGTCAGCAGGCTCCACAGATGCAGAAGCACAGGTATTCCAGGGCAATACTGAGTCCCTAAGCCAGCCCGAAGCCCTCACCAGCCCCCTCCTCACCCCAGAAGCACAGATGTGGGCATCAGGGTCTCTCCCACCCCACCTGTTGACCTCATACCATCTCTCTCCTGGTAGCTGCCAGGCTACATTTTGGGTGGCGCTGGTGGGGGCACCTTCTGAGGCCCTCTGAGCCCAGCTCTGCCGAAGCCTCGCCTGGAAATGAGCTGGCAATATCATTCCACACCGTGGGCGGCCGGGCTGCAGAACTGCAGAGAGGGACCTTGGGGCCCAGGTCACTTAAAGGAGCCTGAACCCAGCTCCCAGGTCTCTGGCCTAGAATTCTTCATGTGACCTGACCCCTGTGCCTAGAGGGAGAGGGATGCTGTGAAGTGCAGGTCCAGGAAGGAAGCCCTCCTTTGAGGGTGCCTTACCTGGGCCAGGTCCCCCAGAGCGGCCTGAGGGTAGAGTTGCTGGCACCACCAGGAAAGTACCTCAGTGAAGTCATTTGACAACTTGTGTTACCAATGTCAGAGCCTACATTGTTCTTGGGCATTGAGCAGTATGGATGGGGAAATTGAGGTGGAGCAAGGGGCAGTGACTTGCCCCAGGTCGCATAGGGAGAGAGCTGCTGAGCTAGAGCTTGAACCCAGGTCTCTGTCCCAGCCAGTCCCAGCAAGGCCCCCAACTCCTGAATGAGAGGAGGCCTTGCCACCCTGGTAGGGCGCTGAGCTTGGGCCTTGCCTGTGAACTCTGCGTTCCCTCCTGTCCTTTCTTCCACCCTCTCCCCCAGGCCCCCACCCCCAGATAAACTGAAATGTTTCCAATTAGGGGTCTGTTGGAGTGAAGCGAGCGAGATGTCCACAAGGAGAACTCCCCCGCCTCCCGTCCTAATCCTTGATTACCTCCCCAAGGGGGATTTATTTGGAAACGGTCATTACCACTAATTACCAGATGACCGCATGGCCCTCCTCGGGAGTGGAATCTGCTGCCTCCCGCCTGCGATCTCTGCCTGCAGCCCCGGTGGGCGGGTGGCCTCCCTGGCACGCATGGCAGCCTGCTCCTGTCCCAGCCTCAGCCTCCAAGGCGGGCCCCTGGGCCTTCACACTGCTCTGTGCCCACCAAGGCCTCTGGATCTGCTTCTCATTTACCCTTGGGCCACCTGGGGAGTCTGAGCTTCATCTGGAAGGTGCTCTGACAGTACCTTCTCCCTCAGCCTTCTCAGGAGGTTGGAGAAACTGAGACCCAAAGTGGCTCCAGGGCTCACCCCAGGGTCCCAGCCAAGGAGACCCAGGCACCAGGAACACCAGTCTCCCTTCTCTGAGAGCTGCAGCACCCAGCACTCACAAGCTGTCTGCACTGAACTCTCCGGGAAGAGGCTCGGCCCCCATCATCCCACCCCGTGGCTTGAGCTGGAGCCCAGGGAAAGACATGGGAGGCCGCCTTCGCTGCCTGAACGCCCACCATGTGCCATGAGCCTGCTGCTAGGCCACACGCTGATGTGCTGTCGCCCACGTCATCCTTCTCATTTGAAAATGGAGGAAGCTGGCTCAGAAGGAGCGGGAGGAAACTTGGGCAAGGGCGAGCGGCAGAGCGGGCTCAGGACGGGCTGGGTGGGGACCACCCAGAGTAAAGCAGAGTGGGAACCCAGAGAGAAGTGACCCCAGTGCCTGCAGGGACTGACAGCCTCACTGAGAAGGATGACGGGGCCTGCTGGGGGGTGCTGGACAAGCACAGCCCTTAAAGCAGAGCTGATCATCCCCTCCGGGCCGCCCTCTGAGGTGTGAAGTGGGAGGCTGTGTCAACCAGGAAGGGCCATGCCCATGTGGGGCTGTTACCCTGCGATGACACCTTACGCAGGGACAGGGTTTGCTGGGTGGAGGTGGAGGGGCTGCTGACAACCAGGAAACACACTGAAGTGATGACGTGTGCCTCTGTGTGGTCACAGCCCGCCAGGAATTACGGCAGGGTTCAGCAACAGGTTCCCCAAGAAGGTGAGGCCAGGGCAGGCCAGAGTAGTTCATTTAGGTCAAGAAACCGCATCTGAGGGCTGCTGTGTGGCCCACCCTGTGCCATATGCTGGCATCTAGACACACCAAACATTTCCCGGCTCAGTTTAGGGGGTGGCAGTGAGGGGAGACTGCCCTGGACACCACAGTTGATCTTACACAGGGCGAGTCGCACTGCCCTAACCACAGGCACCAGGCCCTGCTTTCTGGGTCTCTGGGAAGGTTTTTATTTTGGGGGTTTATAGGGTGGGTGGGCATGGCAGAGCATGAGAGGCAGGAGGAAGTGAAGGAACCTATTGAGTACTTATCATAGCACATATCATTCAGCCTTGGCAAGACCCTGAGAGGTCCCCACGTTGTAGCTGATGCCCAGAGAGAGGCAATAGTTTGCCCAAGTTTGCCCAGCACATAGAGGACAGAGCTTGAGTGAGAACCCAGGCCTTCTCACTCTGTCTGGTCCAGCACTTGCTAGGCAACAAGCGGGGGACTTAGCTTCATCCATGAATTTTTTGTTTGTTTTGTTTTTTGAGATGGAGTCTCGCTCTATCGCCAGGCTGGAGTGCAGTGTCACAATCTCGGCTCACTGCAATCTTTGCCTCCCAGGTTCAAGCGATTCTCCTGCCTCAGTCTCCCAAGTAGCTGGAACTACAGGCACACACCACCACACCCAGCTAATTTTTTTGTATTTTAGTAGAGACCGGGTTTCACCACATTGGCCAGGATGGTCTTGATCTCCTGACCTCATGGTTCACCCGCTTTGGCCTCCCAAAGTGCTGGGATTACACATCTATGAATGTTTAAAACACTTTGCCTACGTTCTGTTATTTAAGTCTCACCATAGCCTTTTTTTTTTTTTTCCAGTAGACAGGGTTTCACTGTGTCACCCAGACTGGAGTACAGCAGTGCAATCATAGTTCACTGTAACCTCAAACCCCCAGGCTCAAGTGATCCCTTCAAGTAGTTGGGACTACAGGCATGCACCACAACACCTGGCTAACTTTTTTACTTTTTTACTTTTTGGTAGAGACGGGGGATCTCCCTATGTTGCCCAGGGTGGTCTTGAACTCCTGGCCTCAAAGGATTCTCCTACTTTGGCCTCCAGAGTAGCTGAGATCATAGACATGAGCAACAACCCCCAGCCTCATCGTAGCCTTTTGAAGTAGTAATTATTTCTCTTTTTATTTTATTTTATTTTTTTGAGACAGAGTCTCGTTCTGTCGCCCGGGCTGGAGTGCAGTGGTGCGATCTCAGCTCACTGCAACCTCTGCCTCCTGGGTTCAAGCAATTCTCCTGCCTCAACCTCCTGAGCAGCTGGGATTATAGGCATGCACCACCATGCCTGGCTAATTTTTGTATTTTTTTAGTAGAGACAGAGTTTCACCATGTTCACCAGGCTGGTGTCAAACTCCTGACCTCAGATGATCTGCCCCCACCTTGGCCTCCCAAAGTGCTGGGATATTACAGGTGTAAGCCACCGCGCCTGGCCTTATCATTTCTTTATAACAGATGAGCAACCTGGAGCCCAGAGAGGTTGGGTAACTTACCTAGGTCACACAGCTGGTGTCGAAAGCTTGTGCTCTTCCTGGGGCCAGGCCAGGAGCGAGAACAGCTGGGTCATTGATTTATAACTGTTGATAGCTTTATCCAGCCGTTAGACTAGGGGATCCTTGAGGAAAGGATCTATGTCATGTTCATTACCAAATGAGTCTGGGAAGAGTTGGTGCTTAGAAAATACTTCTTCCACAAGTAGATCAAGTTCATTTATTCATTCATGTCCAGAAGCAGGGGGAAAGGCATTCCTGGCATCAGGAAAAGCTTGGGCAAAGGCATAGTGGCAAGACAGTTCCTTTCAGAGAAGTCAAGAACCTGGTATAGCTGGATGTCAGGATGAGGATGGGTGGCTGGGGAGAGCTGGGAGGCCAGGCTTTGAGGGGCTCTGAATGTCAAGTGGCAGCCCTTGGCCTTGACTAGGCAGGTCCAGGGAGGCTGCCCCCAGGTAGGAAAAGACCACCAAGGTGGTAATTGTAGTAGCTTCCATCACTGACCACTGACCACAGAGCGTCAGCCCTGGGCAGAACGTGTGACACACATTGTCTGATTTAAGCCCTCAGTTAATACTGGGAGGTTGGTGGGAGAGGAGAGGTTAAGTGACTTGCTCAAGGTAGCAAGGGGAGTGACTAGCCTGGAGTCTACCCAAGCCTATGCAGTGCCCTTGGCAATGGGCTGCCTCCCTCAGAACTCAGCTCAGGGGTTCTAGGATCTCTACCTTGCCAGGTCTCAGCCCTGACCCTGGGCGAGAACCGCTGGGGCCACAGCAGGCGGGGCACTCAGCACTTCTGGCTGCACAATGGCCCCTCTTGGTTCCCTGTCCCTCCTGGGTCTCTGCTGGGTTGCTGAAGGCCAGCTGACTCTGGGTTCCAGACGGCCCCTGCTTGGGTGGGGGGACTGGGAGTGAGTCCATATGGAGTCTTTTAGGGTTGTGGGGTCCTTAAGTGCCGTCGATGCAGCCTGCCCCTCAGAGAAGGCCTAGGAGAACAGCAGATCCAGGAGGAACCTGGTCCTAGAGTCTTGGAACCGAGGTGCCCAGAGCTGGGATCTGGGAGGCTCTTGGGTCCTCTAACATCACCAGGGTTCATAGAGACCCACTAGGCTAACATTTCCCAAAGCATGGATGAGGTCAGCAGCCTCAAGCAAAGGGCTCTGTGCTCAATATACTCAATAGACTCCCTGAGTTAAACAAAACCAAGCCTGTTGCTTTGCTGCAGGACTTCTCAGGGCCTTTAAAATGTAAATATGCATCCTGACTCTCCAAGCAGGGACATAGTACATTGTGTTCCCCAAATGGATCCCTTTTGTCAGTGTCTCACTGGAGCCCATTCTGGGAAATACAGTTTATAAGTACAAACACAGAGGCCCGAAGAGGGGCAATGAACTATCAAACATCACACAACGAGTTAATGGCCAAGTCTGGATTAGGTACTAAAATTTTCAAGTTCCAGGTCATCACAAAACTGAGTGGCTCTTTAATCCTTTATTAGGAATTCCTTGCATGGATATGGGACTTTACAACATAATAAATGGGTTTAGTAATCACATGAAACAATGATGGAAAACTCCAACCTCATGTTGCGCATCTAGTAAGGCTTCAGTTAATAGTATATATAATTATTGTGATTATAAGAATCTAGCATTTCGCATGGTTTCTGGCACATAGCTGCTCAGTGTTGAATGAGTGTTGAATAAAGACTAATAATTCACAGCTGTGTGAGAACTAAATCAGGTGGTAGTGGTGAGCTTTGTGAACTATAGAGCTGTTTTGTTCGTATAATTATCATAAAGCTTAGGTAGGATGGGGGTTGTGATCCTGTGTTATGAATAGGGCCTGAGGCCCAGAGAGGGACAGTGATGCGCCCAAGGCACACGGGGTGGGAGGGGAATCCACTGCTCTGCCAGCCGGCACTTTGGGAGCCTTTCTTGGAAGGAGCCAGGAAACCAGGAGGCAAAGTCCACTGAAGGAAAGGCTGGGGTCAGAAGGGCGGTTGGAGGCCATGTGGCCCCTGACAACCCTGTCTCTCCTTCCATCGGTCATGGCCTTTCCATGGTGTGCAGGGCACTGTCCAAGACACCAGCAGCCCTGGCACTGAACCAGACGCAACACTGCAAGCAGCTGGAGGGCCTGGTGTCTGCACAGGTGCAGCTGTGCCGCAGCAACCTGGAGCTCATGCACACGGTGGTGCACGCTGCCCGTGAGGTCATGAAGGCCTGTCGCCGGGCCTTCGCCGACATGCGCTGGAACTGCTCCTCCATCGAGCTCGCCCCCAACTATTTGCTTGACCTGGAGAGAGGTAGGAGCTGGCAAAGCTGCTAAATGCGTGTGGGTGCGGGTGAAGGAATTCAGGCATCGATCTGTGTGTTTAGATGGAGGGATGGGTTCATGGGCGGGTGGATAATGGATTCATGGATGAATGACGGGTGGATACAGGCATGGATGAATGGGGTATGGGTGGATGAATTAATCATAAGATGGGTGTGTAGGCATGAATTCACAAATAAGTAAACACAGATGAGTGGCAATATCAGTGCAGGGGAGCCTGAAGACCAGCACATGTACCTGTGTGCCCCCATGCATGAATGAAGGAATGAGCCAGGGCTGTGGCCTGCTGTACTTGAGGCCACATATCAGGGAGGCTCCTGGGAGGGGAGTCTAGAAACAAGAATGCTATAGAGCCCACCCTCAGGGCAGACAGGTGTGCCACAGGTAACACTGAACTGGGCTGCTGAAACTGTTGCACCATGCACAAAGCAGTGTAAAGACAGAACATCTCAAAGACTTCCCGCAGGTGGTGGCTTCTGGTGGGGGGTGTCTGGGGGACTCATGTACAATAGGGAGGCTTTTGACAGACAGAAGTGCCCCAGTAGGTGCAATCTCTCTCCTGCACTGTAATAACTTTTCTTGTGGGTCCTAAACAGTAGCAGCTAATATTTGACAAATTCCTTTCTTCCTGAATTATTTGAACTCCAGAGCCAGCCTGTGAGGTAGGTGTTATCACCCATATTCTACAGTTAAGGAAACTGAGGCTGGAGAAGGGAAAGTGGCTTGCTAGTTAGGAGACAGAGCCAGGGCTCGGACCAATGGCCAGGACCCCGCAGCTGAGGCTCCTGAGTGCCCTATTTGTTTCCCAGGGCTGCTGTCCAATGGGCCACAACTAGCTGCTTGCAAACAGCAGATGTGTATTGTCTCGAAGTTGTGGAGGCCGGAAGTCCAAAATCGAGGTGTCAGCAGAGCCGTGCTCCCCCTGAAGGTGCCAAGGAGGATCCTTCCTGGCCCGTCCCTAGCTCCTGGTGGCAGTTGGCCATCCTTGGCATTCTTTAGCTTGCAGCTGCGTCACTGCAGTCTCTGCCTCTGTCATCACAGGGCAAGCTCCCTCTTTGTGTGTCTGTGTATCCGAAATTCCCTTTTTACAAGGACACCAGCCACTGGCCTAGGGCCCACCCTGATCTGATATGACCTTGTCTAAGCCCCATTACATCTGCAAAGACCCCACTTCATCATAAGATTATGCTCACAGGTCCAGGGGTCAGGACTTGAACACATCCTTCAGGGGGACACGGGTCCACACACAGCAGGCCCTTTGTGCATTCGTCTGGTGCATCAGGAGCTCAGAGCCTGGGCTTCACTACTGTAAAGCATCCCCTAACGCCAGTGCAGGGCAAGTGGGTGAAAGCCCAGAGCTGTGAGTGTGAGTAGGAGGACGTGGGCAAGGGCATGCCTGTGGGTGTGGGTCGAGTGTGGCTGTCAGCTGGTATATTCGGAAGGAATTGGGGAAGCAGGGGTGACAGCTCAATGGCCCTAGTGCCGACCCTTGCTGGCGCCACCTTGGTTACATGAGGGTGTGGGCGAAGGAGGAGGACCTCTGACCTGGGCAGCTGACCTTTCCCTCCCACCCCCAGGGACCCGGGAGTCGGCCTTCGTGTATGCGCTGTCGGCCGCCACCATCAGCCACGCCATCGCCCGGGCCTGCACCTCCGGCGACCTGCCGGGCTGCTCCTGCGGCCCCGTCCCAGGTGAGCCACCCGGGCCCGGGAACCGCTGGGGAGGATGTGCGGACAACCTCAGCTACGGGCTCCTCATGGGGGCCAAGTTTTCCGATGCTCCTATGAAGGTGAAAAAAACAGGATCCCAAGCCAATAAACTGATGCGTCTACACAACAGTGAAGTGGGGAGACAGGTAACCACCCACCCCACCCAGCCCCAGATAGTTGTGCTTGTACCATTGGCCGGAAAAGGGCCACCCAGCGTGCCCCGATGGTGGGGGGTGCGGGGGGACGGGCCCTGACTGGCCCACACCTGACGTGCCTCACACCGTCCTCATCCTCAGCCCTTCCCTTGCCAGCTGCTTGGGGTTTGTCTCGCTTTCCTCCTCCAGGGGGTCCACCGGGGTTTGGGTTGTCCAAGCAGAAGGAGCACTGAGCTAGGAGTCAGGCGCTCTGAGTTCTGGCCTTGGCTCTGGCACTAAACTCACTTAGGGACATTGGGAAAGTCAGTGCCTCTCTAGCCTCAGCTGTTCCCATCTATAAAATGGTGGAGGTGACCTGGTGCTGAGTCCCCATCTGTCATGTTCCTCAGGCTGTCCCTCCCTCCAGGGTGTGGAGAGGGCTGTGGTCAACAGAAGCCTATCCTAAGGGCTCATCTGCTTGGATGTAACGGGGACTCCCACCCATACCCACCGCAGCCGCTAGAACAGTTTCCTCCAGCATTCATTACTATCAGGTTTTCATTCATTCCTCACCTCACTGCCCAAAGGACTGGGGTGAGTGGACCCGTAAGTGAATGAACTTTCTACCAATCTGTGTTGCAGACACTGTGCTTGTTGCTCCATACATTTCTGTTCTGTGGTCACAGAACAACTCGGGCAGGCCTTGTTGTCCCCTTTTCACAGATGGAGAAAGGACCGTGAATGGCAGGGATGGCCACTTGGCCAGAGCTGCATGTGCAGATGGCATCTCATTAGCTCCTCCCTGCACCCCTTAGCCCCATTTTACAGAGGCACTAAGTGAGGCTGAAAGCACTTCAGTGGCTCAGACCTACAGCACGATAGAGCCCAGGACTGTGGGACTCCCAAGTTCAGGGATTTCCGTGGCCTCATCTGCTCTCAAGGGTCTGACTTGTGTGAGGATTCTAGGATGTCCAGGCCATCCTTGGACAGTTAGGGAAACTGAGGCCAAATCATACTGTGGATCTATAGCAAAGCCTGGCCAGGAACTCAGGACTCCTGCCTCCTGGCCCTGCTTACCTGTCCCCGACCCCTGCTCATGAAACCCAGTGCGAGCCCTTCACCAGCGGCCTGCACGCCCACCACCATGGCCACGCCCACCATCATGGCCAGGCCAGCTGGACGCCACATGCTGCCAGGGGCACAGCCCTCCCCTCCCCACCATGCAGTCCAAAGAGGATCTTCAGCCTCAGGGCAAATCAGGACTGTCCCTGAGGCCATCTGCAAAAGGGGCCAGTATCCCCGAAAGCTGCAGGGCTGCTGAGGATTAAATGAGATCACAAACACATGTTTAGTACCTCGGGAAGTTCCAGGCCCCTTCCCCCAGCTTATGCTGAGCAGCAGAACCTAGTTCACCTTCCCTCGATGGCTCACCAGTGCCTCGGTGCCCTGCAGTCCTGCTGACTTCATCCCTGTGACCTCCATAGACTTTTCTCAGCAAATTCCAGATTGGGTACCCAAAAGTACTCCCTGGGTCCTCACTTCCTGGCACTGGAGAGGAGAGGAGCCCTGGGACCTTGGCCAGCTTCCCCACTAACTCACTTGTCTTGGGCAAGTCCTGCCCACTCTGTGCCTCAGTTTCTCCATCTCTCTGATGCAGGGGATGGACCCAGGTTCCCATGACTCTTGCAGGTCTATGAACAGGAGAGGCAGGAGGGCAGGCCTGGGCAGGGGAATCCAAGTCTTGTGTTGAAAGAAGGGTTTAAAAGGCAGAACTGGAAGGCCTGTAGAAGGCATCTAACTTCTGCCCCTCAGGTATGAATGGAGAAACTGAGGCCCAGGGAAGCTGGTGGGCCCGAGTCCTTTTTGAAGCCAGGGCAAGAGGCTCCCCAAGCCTCTGAGCCCAAGGGGTCTCCGCCATCGTTATTACTTAAATGGATTTTTCAAAACCAGCATTGATTTAACTTTTATGGTTCACAAAACCCTTTTGTGCGTGCCATCTCATTTCATCCTTACAGCTCTCTGCAGGGCAGGAATTATGTGCTCGCTTTGCACGAAAGAAGACAGAGGCCCTGAGTGGTGACGTGGCTTGCTGAGGGTGGCCTGGCAGGAGCACTGGCAGTGGGGGGAAAGCCGGCCAGGTGGCAGGGAGGTGCCCCCTGCACTCACCCCTGCCTTTTCTCCCCTTCCTACGCTCCTCCCTTCCTTCCTTCTCTTCTTTTCTTCCTTTTTTCCAGCAAGCATTTAGTGAATGAAAAAGCATGGAACAATTAAAAGCCACCACTTTTGGAATCACCCTCAGATCTGGGTTCAAATCCCAGCTCCTTGATTTTCTGACTGCACCCTTGGGCATGAGACTTAGCCTCTCTGAGCTATTGTTTCTTCTTTTTAAAATGGGGGAAGTTAGGATACCTCCCTTGAAGGGCTGTTGTGGTGATCAATCTCCATTATGCGTTAGAGCGCTTGGTGTACAGTAGGTGCTCAATAATGACATCCCTATCCCTGCAAATGCCTTTCTTCCTGCCCCTCAGCTGTCCCCCAAGGTTGCAGGAAGGCCCACACCACCTCCAAGCTTTAAAGCAAAAAGCTCTATCACTTGAGGCTCCAGCAGGCAGTGACTCCCTGAGCACCCAGCCATGGGTGGGTGGGGCTGGGGTCCTGGGGCAGGCCAGGGAGGGGACCCTGGCCACCCAGCCGACGCCTTCCCCTGTCTGCAGGCTCTGCGCGCCTCTCTGGAAATGAAGTGTAAGTGCCATGGGGTGTCTGGCTCCTGCTCCATCCGCACCTGCTGGAAGGGGCTGCAGGAGCTACGGGATGTGGCTGCTGACCTCAAGACCCGATACCTGTCGGCCACCAAGGTAGTGCACCGACCCATGGGCACCCGCAAGCACCTGGTGCCCAAAGACCTGGATATCCGGCCTGTGAAGGACTCAGAACTCGTCTATCTGCAGAGCTCACCTGACTTCTGCATGAAGAATGAGAAGGTGGGCTCCCACGGAACACAAGACAGGTGAGGCCTGCCGCCACCTTGGTGGGAAAGGGTCACCTGTGTTGCACATACTGTTCCCCAACTCAGGGCCATGCACACAGCAGGGACTCAGGTGGCATTTGGGGAATGGAGTCCCTGCTCAGTTGAGGGAGTTGGCCCCAGAACTGCTAAGTGGAGATGCCAGGGTCCTAGGGTCCCCTGCAGAGCTGCTGGGAGCACCTGTTCTGCACTGTGCCTGGCAGGGGCCCAGGGAATGGGGGCTGATGGGAGGCTCCTGCTCTACCTTCCCCAGCTGGGGAGACAGATGCAAAGAGACAATGACGCTACTGGGAGACGGGACAGGAACGAGGCTGCCCAACATAAGATAGGTGCTCAGAAAATGTTTGGCAGATGAACAGATGAAGGGTAAAGGCCATACAGCCTGCTCGTTGCACAGCAAAGGGACTGAGGTGCCAGGGGAGATGGGGACAGCCTACAATGAGTGAGGGAGAGCGATGTCTGCCTGCATTCCATGCAGCGACACTGCCCCTGTGTCCTCGCCTCTGTGAGCCCTCTCCCCGGCCCCCTGCTCCTCCCATCTCCTCCTGGGGACCCTGAGCCTGGAACCCTACCACAGCCCCAGTCACAACTGCTGCAGTCGGCTCAGGACAGGAGAGTGAGGGAGCCAGGGGTGACTGCAGACCTACTGTGTGCTGGGTGGGGTTGGTGAGGACTGCACAAGCAGCATTTCCTGAAGACGGTGCTGGCGAAAGCTGGTCCCGATCTACGAGAGAAAGAGCTCTGTCATCACATGCTTTTGGGAAATTCTCTGGCAATTCACAAGGCACTAGAACATATGAAAGGCTCTGAGGAATCTGCAGTAAAGATCTGTTTAAGCCAGTGTTTCCCAGAGGTGTTTGGCCACGGAACGCTTCTATTAAGGAGCCCCTAATAGCATTCCACAAAACTCGTGTTCTCGGGGTTAAAAGAATATTGCACCAGAGAGTGGGTGTCTGGGAACGTGTCTGGCACATAGTTGGTGCACAGCCAGCGTTGACTTCCTCCGCAGCCCACGTTCCTGTCTCCAGGAGAGGGAGGGGTGGGCTGGGGGGCTGCATCCCCACAGGCCAGGGCAGCAGGCTCTGTGAGGAGGCCCAGGCTCCCATCTGGAGGCCAGATTGAGGGGGTCGACAGAGGGAAGATGGAACCAGGTCAGGCCAAGGAGACAGGAAGAAGCCAGAGGCTGGGCTGAGGTAGATGGGGATGGGGGAGTTAGAGGAGGATTCTAGAACATGGAGGGCTGCAGGAGGCCCACAGAGGACCCGAGAGTGAAGAATGGGTCTTCCTGGATCCATGTGCAGCTCTGTGTGTGTCAGGGAGGGCACAGCAGGGGGACTTGAGCACATCCTTCACTGATCTGAGGCTCAGGCTTGTCTTCCGCACAGTGGGGAGGGCACACAGGGTTGTCGCGTGATCTCCAAGCACACGTACCTAGCATCTCCCTCTCCCCTCCCGTCCTGGGCAGTCTCCCCTCCCACTGTGCCCTCTCTCCCAGTCGCCCCTCCCTCCTGATGAGGAGGCCCCGCCCACAGCACCACCCATCCTCCTGCTTCCTTCGCAGCCCCCACAGGTCTCCTGCCTTGCGGCTCCGGTCCTTCCCCAGGGAGGGCCCTTGCAGGCATCTGTGTTAGTTGGCTTTTGCTGCGGTAACAAACAGCCCCAATTTCTCAGTAATTCACAACCACAGACATTTCTCGTGCCCATTACATGAGACTGCAGGTCAGCTGTATCTCTGCCTGGCTCTGGTAGGTGCTGGTGGGGGATCCCCAAGGGCTCAGGTCATGACAGGAAAGCTTGGTGTGAGGGGAGCCCAGAGGGTCCCTGATCCAGCCTGGACATCAAGGAAGGCTTCCTAGAGGAGGGGAAATGTGAGATTGATGATTAGGTTGGGGGTTGGATGTAAGTGAGCTTGGTGAACTGTGCAAGGTGTGTGCATGTGGGGTATCTCTAGAGGCTGGCTCCCTCGCTGCGGAAGATACCTTGCAGCCTCCTCAAATCTAACCTGGGGAAACCGAGGCCTAATCTGCAGTCAATATTCCAAACCCTAGCCCTCTTGTTATATTTCTTCCAGAGGCTCGCACCTCTGAAACCCACACATCCCCCACCACCCACAGTTTGAGCCACCCTGTGCCCTGGGAGCCAGGCATCCCAATGGCCCTTCCCTGGGCCTGTGGCCCCACTGGCCCCAATCCTGGTCCCAGGCACCTGGGCCTTGTCTGAATCTGACATTGGAAGCCAAGTTTTCAGACAATGCATGTCAGGGATCCAGAAATTTAAAAAAGAACCCTGTCTCCTTCCTACCACTCAGGGTAGAGTGCTCAGCCAGAGCCTTCAGGAGAAGGCTGAGGGGGAACTCATGGATGCTGAGTGACCAAACAAAGCCCAAAAAGGTTCAGTGACTTGCCTTAAGTCACACAGCCACTAAGTGGCAGAGCTGGGGCTTGAACCCAGGTCTGTCCAGCTGTGGGGCATGTATTCTTCCGGGAACTGCTGGCAGCCCCCACTTACTTGTCACTGGCTGGCTCTCCCTAGATGCTCCCCTCCTTCTGCCCATGGCCCCTTCCAGCTCAGGCCTGGCCTCTCCCCCAGTACTGATCAGCCTCCTCCGGGCCTCCAGCTCTCCCCTTCCATCTGCTCTCACTGTTCTGAGGGCAGGCCTGGTCTTCTGCCTTTGCCCAGGCTATTCCCTCTACCCCAGCACTTCTTCCCTCCTCTGCACGGTGGAGTGCTGCTCCTCCTTCATGAATGGCCTAGATGGCCTCTCCTCTTCCAGGAAGCCCTCCTGGACTCTCAAGACCTTGTACTCACCCCGGGCAAGGCCCCTCTCCCTTCTGTGTCTGTTTCCCCATCAGTAAATATGAGGATTGCATTCGGTCGTCTCTAGGACTTTCCCACATTGGACATTCTGGGATTCCTCAGTCCACATGTGGGGACCATTTGTCCCTGTCAGTGCCCCAGCCCCCTGCTGCTCTGTCCGCAGCTACATCTCATGAAAACACTCCCTGTCTAGCCTCAGCCTGGCTAGAGGAGCCACTAGTCTGAACAGATGATTTGTCACTAGACAGAAGAACTGAGAGCAGTGGAAGCATGTTTGCATTTTATAGGGACCTTCAATGCCTTCGCATCCCACATTTGGGAAGAAATGCAGCCCCTGCCGGCTTCCACGCCCCGCCCTTTAGGGTAGGGAGAGCAAGCCAGGGCCTTAGTTTTAGTCCCCGAGTTTAAGCCTCTGCCCTTTGCTGAGCCTGTTTTCATCTGCATAATGGACATAATAATACCACTGACCCCAGGGCCCTGAGCACCTCCACTAAGATAAGACACTGGAGGGAGTGCCTGACCCACAGGAGGCACATGGCCAACAGACCCCTCTTCCTCCACGAGCAGCATGTCCAATGCCCACTGGGGCTTCTAGTATTTCAGCATTTATGCTAGGATTCTAAAAATCAAATGGTCTTTACATCTCTCATAATATTTAATTAAACATTAAATATGGCCGGGTGTGGTGGCACATGCCTGTAATCCTAGCTACTTGGGAAGCTAAGGCAGGAGAATCGCTTGAACCCAGGAGACAGAGGTTGCAGTGAGCTGAGATTGCACCACTGCACTCCAGCCTGGGCGACAGAGCGAGACTCTGTCTCAAAAAAAAAAAAAAAAAAAAATTACACATAAACACATAAAGGTAGGATTATTAGATTGGTGGGAGGGTCTTTCCAGTATTTAGAAGTAGAAGAAATAGAAAAAAGATACCTCCAAGAAAACAAAACAAGGCTGGGCACGGCAGCTCATGCCTGTAATCCTAGCAGTTTGGATGGCTGAGGTGGGAGGATTGCTTGAGCTTAGGAGTTCAACACCAGCCTGAGCAATATAGTAGGATTCCATCGCTACAAAAATAAAAATTAAAAAATTAGCCAGGCATGGTGGTGTGTGCCTGTAGTCGCAGCTACTCAGGAGGCCGAGGTGGGAAGAGCACTTGAGCCGGGGGCCTGGGTTGGCGGGGAGGTGGGGGTCAAGGCTGAGGGGAGCCATGATCACAACCACTGCACTCCAGCCTGGGCAACAGAGTGAGACCCCATCTCAGAAAAAATAAAAGAAAATAGCTCCATCATTTTGGTAACCCCTTATTAGAAATATAGGGAAAAGTTAGAAGTACCTTCAGGTAAGAGGATTGTTTAAAAGTCCCCAAAGATCAAGACAGCTTCTAAGAAGGGCTGAGTCGGTGGCCATGGGAGATGCTGCCAGCTGCCTGGCTGGGAGTCATAGGAGATGCTGCCGGCTGCCTGGCTGGGAGTCATGGGGTGTTGGTGGGTCGGTGACCAAGGCATGCACTGACCTCCTTCCTGCCCCCACAACAGGCAGTGCAACAAGACATCCAATGGAAGTGACAGCTGCGATCTTATGTGCTGCGGGCGTGGCTACAACCCCTACACAGACCGCGTGGTAGAGCGGTGCCACTGTAAGTACCACTGGTGCTGCTACGTCACCTGCCGCAGGTGTGAGCGTACCGTGGAGCGCTATGTCTGCAAGTGAGGCCCTGCCCTCCGCCCCATGCAGGAGCGAGGACTCTGCTCAAGGACCCTCAGCACCTGGGGCCAGGGGTCTGGAGACACTCCATGGATTCTGCTTGTGAATTCCAGATGCCAGGCATGGGAGGCGGCTTGTGCTTTGCCTTCACTTGGAAGCCACCAGGAACAGAAGGTCTGGCCACCCTGGAAGGAGGGCCGGGACATCAAAGGAAACCGACAAGATTAAAAATAACTTGGCAGCCTGAGGTCCTGGAGTGCCCATGGGCTGGTCTAAGGAGCGGGGCTTGGGATTGGTGAGACTGATACAGACGTGACCTTTCAGGGCCACAGAGACCAGCCTCCGGGAACGGGTCTGCCCGCCTTCTTCAGAATGTTCTGCGGGACCCCCTGGCCCACCCTGGGGTCAGAGCCTGCTGGGCCAACCACATGGAACCACTAGCTTGGGTTGTAAATGTTTTCCTTTGTTTTTTTGATTTTTCTTCCTTTGGGATGTGGAAGCTACAGAAATATTTATAAAACATAGCTTTTTCTTTGGGGTAGCACTTCTCGATTCCTCTTTATATATTTTATATATATAAATATATATGTGTATATATATATATATATAATGATCTCTATTTTAAAACAAGCTTTCTAAGCAGCTGTACGAAATAAATGCTGAGTGAGCCCCAGCCCGCCCCTGCAGTTCCCGGCCTCCTTGAGTGAACTCAGCAGACCCTGGGGCTGGCAGAGGGAGCTCTCCAGTTTCCAGGCAAGGCGGCTTCCGATTGATGTCCCTTCTCCCCCCGCGCTCCCCCACACCGGGCCCTGGCCCTGATCTCCCTGTAAGATCTCTTGGTCAAGGGCGAGGACAGACGTCGTGAAACATAAACCCAGCTGGCAGCATCTTTTTTCCTCAGGGACACACATGCATGCGCGGCTCAAAGCCTGGCCATGTTGTCAGGCCTGCCTGCTAAGCTGGCTTCAAGGGAAAACCGTCCCTGGGCAGCTGGGATGCAGACTTCGGGGAGGCAGCCCTGGTGGGTTTTCTGCATGACCCTGGGGAGGGGGGGTCTCTGCCAGCCTCAGTTTCCCCATTTGTAAAATGGGAGTGGTGGGGAGGAAGGCTGAAGGTTAAGAAAGGCCTCGTGCCTGGAGGCTGGCGGCAGCGGACGTGTTGAGAAGTGGCTGGATTCTGGTTCTGTTTTGAAGGGGAAGCCAACAGGATTTGTTCTCTTTTTGCATGTGGGGTGTGAGGGGAAGGAGGCCCAAGAATGACTGCCGGGGTTTTGGCTGGAGCACTTGGAAGGCTGAAGGGGCTGGATGCCGACATGGGGGTGGGGAGAGGCCTGGGGTTCAGATTTGGGCCCGTGGGGATTGTGACACTGTTTATGCTCCTAGTGGAAATACTGAGTGGACGGGAAGATATTTGGGACTGGAGTTCTGGGAAGTGGCCAGGGCTGGAGATCCACATTTGGGTGTCATCACTAAAGGAGTGTGTGGGATAGAAGAGTGAAGAGGACCAAGGCCTGGGCCTGGGACACTCCTGCCCTGGAGGTTGGGGAGATGAAGCTCAGAAGAGACACGGAGACAGAAGGAACAGCCAGGGAAGCAGGAGGGAGGTCGGTGGTCCTGGCTGTTGCCGGGGAACAGGATCATCGCAGGCATATCACAGTCCCTCTGAGCTTCCGCGTCACCTCCCGCATGTAGGAAGCACCAGTAACCAAGAGTTGAGTAAGTGGGGTATCCCCAGTGCCTGGCCAGAGCAGGTGGCCCCAAAACAGAAGTAGTGGTTCATCACCTGGATCTTGCTGTGGCTGGGGGGTAACCACACAAGACAAAGGGTGTAAGAGGATGTTATAATCTGGATCTCTGCATGCACCGGAGAGTGCTCTTCCCTCCCCGAGCTGGCTGAGGACTGAGACACCACCTGGAGGGGCTGGGGCAGAGTGGGGCCTTGCGCAGGATTTAGATAAGTGAAGCCACATCCTTGGGGGTGGGATGGCATGGATAACCCCTCAGGGGCTGGACCTATCCTGAGTGGGAAGAAGGGGGGTTTTTGTGGCCATCTTCAAGGCCCAGCCTGAAAGCTTGCAGTGGGGGCAGCCAGAGCCACAGACTCACCAGCTGCAAGGAACCTCAAGATAAGTCTTCTGGTGTGTTTTGCAGAGGAGGAAATTCAGAGATGGGAAGGGCCTTCCTGTGGTCACAGAGCTGATAAGGGGCTGGGAGCTGGGGGAGGTGGAGCCTCCCCGGGTGGGGCCCCTGCCAGCCCCTGTGTCGAAAACCCCCAGCCTCCCTGGAAGGAGCCCCTGGAATGTGTGCTCTCCAGACCCAGGGCTTCCCTGCTTCTCAGCGACCTCCTAGCCCACAAAACCAATTCCCGGTCCCTAGCCTGGAACACAAGGCCTGTTCCCCAGGCACAGGCAATTCTTCCAACAGCATTTCCTGCAAATCCCAGCTGCTCAGCCCGCCTGGCCTCTGGGCATCTGCTGCTCTCCCTGACCAAAAGTGCTGTTTTCCTTGCTGGAATCGCACACAACCCTCACAGCCCTCTCCACAAAACCTTCCCCAGTGCCTTGGGTGGAAGGGATCTGCCCCTCTTCAGGCTCCCCACAACCCTCTGAACATTCAAAGCAGCCATCACCCTCCTTCTCAAGCTGCCAGTCAATGCCCTCTTCTGCAAAAGCCAGGTAAATGGCTCCCTCCTCCAGGAAGCCCTCCCCAGCTACCTTCAGCCTGGGTCAGGGGCCTCTGCTGGGTTCCCACAGCCTCTGTGCTCCCTCCAATGTTCGCGGAACCAAGGTGTTGAAGAGGGCTGTGTTGTGTCATATCATCTGTCTCCCCCACCTGTCTGGGGCCTTTTCATGGGCTGGGACCAGCCATATGCACCCATGGGCCCTGGGATCTGGGGGGCAGCACAACAACAGGGCTAGGTATAAAACCTACCTCTGAAATGTTGGATTTGGGAGTGTCATTTGGACCTCTGTCAGGACAAGTAAATGGGGGAAACCAGACCAGGGACCAAGAGCGGCTCTCAGAAAGGGTGGCCACGTGAGATAAGTGCTACCATTTACTGTGCACCTGCTGTGTGACCTTCTAAGCACATTGGCCCAAGTCATCACAGCAGCCCTTCGAAGTGAGTATTGTTACCATTGACACAGGAGGAAACTGAGGCTCTGCGAGGAAAGGCGGCTCGCTCCAGACCTCAGGAAAGCTCCCAGCACAGCGGGGCTCTGAGCGCAGGTGCGTCCCTGCTCACACGTCTGCACTCCCAGCAGGCTCGGGGGAGCTGCATGGAGAGCTGAAGACAGTTTCCTGGGCTGAGCTGGAGGGCTGGGAGGGGAGACCTCAAGCTCAAGACAGGAGACCCTGGGGAGTCCCTGACTCAGCAGGCCACTGGCCAGTCCCCACATCTGTGACAAAGCCCTGAACCTTTCTGGCTGGCCAGGAGCTGGACAACAGAGGGGCAGTGGGAGCTGGTCCCAGTGCTTCCCCTCGCCCCCAGGTCAGGGCTCTAAGGATGCAACCAGGCTGAGCCCCACTCCGGGGAGCTGGGGGCTGGGGCCTCTGCCAGGTGCATCACAGGGGCATGGAGGTTCCCAGGACCTCAGAGCTCTGGGAGCTCAGTATCTCATTGTGTTCAGAGATTTGGAAGCATAAGATCTTGGTACTCAAGAATTGTGGAGTAGAAACCCCCAAACCACTGCCTTGCCAGCCCTGTAGAGGCCCCCAGGCAAATGGCCCACCCAAAAAATTTTGAAGGCTGCGTACTGATCTGAGAGTGTCAGAATTCTTGTCCCCAGCAGATTTCCCTTCCCAGAACTTGCTCCATCTCCCTCCTGTTTAAGGGGCAGCAGTCCCAGACAGGGCTCTGTGAGACTCAGAGAGTCCGAAAGATGGAGACTCCCCAGTGATGACAGCACCAGCCACTCTGAGGCGGCTCTGAACCAAGTGTGGGAGGCTGGCTGGAGACACAGGAGAGATGGGGCCTGAGGAGGGAGACAAGAAGGCGGCAGAGAGGAAACAGGAACTCCTGAAAAGAGGGAGAGATTAGTTTGGTGGGAAAGGGGAGAGTGGACAGATAAGGCCCCGTGAGGAGGCCTGGCCAGGCCAGAGGAACAACCAAGGGGCCAAAGCCCAGCCCTGTGCAAGCTGCTGGTCTGTGGTTCCTGAGGTTGCAGAGATCAGCCACTGGGTTACACAGACCAGGCCCCAGTATGATGCAGGCTCCGGTCCAGAACCCCAGACCCAGAGAGGCTGGACGGGGTAAGGGGAGTTTGGGGCTAGGAGGTAGGAATCCTGCATCTTTTCTAGCTTCTTGCTGTGTGACTCCAGGCAACCACTGGCCCTCTCTGGGCCTCTTCGGCAATTGTCTTGTCCAATTCTCACAACCGTTCTAAGGGATATGACCCAGTATCTCCGTTTTATTGATGAGGAAACTAAGGCTCAGAGAGGGAAGTGCCTGGCCCAGTGTTAGAGAATAATTAGTGGAAGAGCTGATATTCAAACCTTGGACTGCTGATATTCAAACCATTGGGCTTGGTCTCAGCCTCTACAACGTGCATCCCAGGGATGAAAGTGGCCTCTGACTGAGTGGGGGTTTTGACTGGGAGCCACTGGAGGGCGTTGCAAGAGAGGAACAGGAAACAATTCAAGACTGAGCAGTTCCTGACATCTGTTGCAGGGCCTGGGAAGCGCAGTCCAGGAGCAGGTGCCGGGAAGGGTTGCCCATCAGGATCAGGCCACAGATCAGCCACCACGTTCCCACCCTGCCCTCCCCAGGTGAGCTGCTCAGCATCGCCTGTGTGCCTGGCCATCCAGGCCCCACCTGTGTGTGTGTTGGGGCGAGGGACAGGGGAGCACATGAAGCTCAGGTGTCTTCTTCAGTGGGCGCACAACTCTTAGTTATTATAGCAGAGAGGACAGGAGGCTGAAGACAGGCAGAGCCCTGGGGCTTTGGGGATTTGGAGAGGGAAGGCCTACTCCTTTCTGGGTATTGGGAGTAGGGAGTGGGAAATAAGGAAGACTTCATGGAAGAAGTGCCATGTGCATTGGGTCTGGAAAGTGGGGTAGGATTTTAAGAGATGGAGAAGGAGGTGATGTGGAGGGGTCTGTGTGAGAACAGTCGTGGCAGTAAAGTATGCTCAGAGGATGCCAAGAGGTGGGTATGACTGGAGCTCAGGGGCCTGTGGGTACCAGGGCAGCAAGGGTCCAAGCCAGGCTGCCTTGGGTCCTGCCAGGTGTCCAAGACCACCCCCAACAGGGCGCTAGCGGCTGACTGGTCTGACCGCCGCCTGCCCGCCAGGCCACCCGCCCGCCCGCAGAGCTGGCTGGCTCCAGGCAGAGCAATTTAACAGCCGCACGTTTAACGGGTCCCTTTGCTCCCGTATACCAAATCAATATCCGCTCTGCTCCCCAGGCTCGTGGCTGCTGAAGACAGTCTCCTTACCGGCCCCTTGGTCCGCATTGTCTTACCTGCTGGGTGCCAGCAGAGGAGCTGGAGGGCTGGGGCAGGGAGCCAGGGATGGGTGATGGGGGAGGAGCAAGAGGAGGACGTGACTGATCAGGACAGTCATCCCAGACACCCCTATTCAGGCTGGCAGGTGAAGGCAAGAGCTTGCCAGAGGCCCAGGCTCCTGTGCTCCTGGGCACAGATGCAGTTCAAATCAGAGTATTTTATGTCTCCACTGTCTGCGCATCTG